AAAGACAACCAAATATTTTACTATAAACTATTGCTTTATGCTTCTTGAAATATCACAAATATATGTTAAACTTTATATGCCAGATCTTTTATTTACTACCAAATGTGTCACGTGTCTCTTTTGTTTGACTTCATTGAGCATCATAACACTGATTCTCATCAATGTAGCATTCATTTAAGTCAGATATTCGAACAATAAATGGTTCTTATGATTTCATCAAACGATGGTATTTTGATTTAAATGCGGAAAAAGAACGGTCTGCAATACGTCTGGATGTACATGCGGCCTTATAACGCATATATGCATCTTTCTCAGATTGTATTTTCAAAGATATAATAAAGTCTAGGATCTCAATTTCGTTACTACTCCATTTCATAGTTAGTCCGGCTGGTAAATGTCGTCTTCCGTCTTTCGTTATGTTCTCATGTTCGATTTTGGGAGGTTCTTCTGTACTAGAGTCATCTGAGTCATCCTTGTTTTCTGTGGATATTCTATTATCATCGTCTGTTAAATCGTCTTCTGATGAAACTGTGCTAATCTTAGTTACTGGTTCTGGTATAGATAATTCTAAAGATGAATGCAATCTAAAAATATGCAATCTATGAATTGAATTAAGCCTAAATCTGGAAAGAATTTCACGACTTTGAAGGACCGACTCGATTTTTGGAATGATAGTTAATATTCTATTGTGAAGCTTTGAGAACTTACAATAATGAACATACCAACGATTTTGTAAAAGTCCTATACACGAAAGATATGATATTACCTGTAATAACACATCGTTTGTTGCAGAATAATCGGAGAGTTTTTCAAGTATGCTGCACATCCATGGAAACGTAAAATTTTCCTGTACTGACAAATATTCTCTAAACTTTGACATATGCACTAAACCTTCGTTTTCAAGAAACCAAATAACATCTGTTGAGAACTGACTTGCTTTAGCTAACACAGAGTTTTCATTGCTATACCCTGTTATTCGTACAACTCCGTTGTTAGGCCAGTGCATTTTGCTATTGTTTGCTCTATCAGTAAACCGAACATCCGGAAAGTAATTGAGTTTAAAATGATTAAATCCAATCTCTAAAACATCAACAGGTTTCATTTGCAGCATTTCGATGAATTCAATAGCTCGCCAAAAAACAAATGGTGGTTTATAGATTTTCTTTCTACAAAGTCTTCCACACAAATTATGTACAGTTATTTGTCCGGCTAGAACAGCCCAACATGGAAGGTCCTGTGTTCTTAGATCCGATAAAAGTGAGCGATCACATTTGGCTATACGGCTAGGATCTGTCTGTAAATCGTGTATCAAAAGAATCACTGACCGAATACCAACAGCTATTATACCGCCATCCATCACACCGGAAAAATTTACAATTTTTTTAATGCTTTGCTTTTGGCATTCATTTAAAGCCCAAAATGTGAGAGGTGGCAAGGAACATTCATCAAATGCGCAGGCTGTAGCATCATCAAGGCATAAAAAGCCTTGTTCCCAAGTCGAACAACGACTTGGAAAACAACCTCCTGGTCCTAAGTTTATTCCAAAATTATTATCTGCTGCACTGTTAGGTCGACCTTTAAATAATATTTCACATGCAAGCTCGTACTGGTAACATTTCCAAACGTTTAAAAATCCACCCATTTTACAATTTTTGGCATAAAGATCCCTTAGAGATTCTAATAAATATGTTCCTACCATGCGAATAGATTTTGTGAAGCTAAAGTCTTCCTTGTATAAGTCATTAATAATTGGAACAATGATTGGATACTTTGTTAACAGGACTGATAGTGCACTTTTTGATATATAGCTTTCAGCACATAGCACATTCTCTTTTTTGGTTTCACACACTATTTCAAGCCTTGCGTTTGATATTCCTAATTTTAGTATATTTTCCTGTATTGACGTTAAATAATCAGATGCTCTGTTTTCAAGAGCTTTTTGAATATTACCATGTAATACACCACACGAAGCGATACATCCGAAGACGGGATGGATAGAAGATGAACTCATATGTGGCAAATCGGCATACATTTGCAAAAACCGCAATGTCTCAGGGCATGTGCACAACTGTCTTAAATCTCTAGAAATGTCAATACTTCTGCCGTCTAAATTTGTCTGGAAATTACAACAGGAGCGAAAACTTAGTGACGAATATAAAGATCCACGATCACCAATTATGTCCTGTATACCGCTTCGTGACCAAAACAGGTTTTGGTTCAAAATTGGGGATGACAATGTTACGGCCGCATGTATCGTTGTTGATGCGTTTGCAGTATCATATTCCGTAATTTTCATAGCATTGCTATTTCTGTCCCCAAAACGGTGGGCTATGATGATGAATTCAAAATTTTCGTCACGAGGTAGAGAGTTTTCCGTTTGGCATAAGAGATTTAAGACAAATTCCCTGTCATCTGGTAGGACATGCCAGGTTCTTATATCAATTATCTTGTTTTTCTTGAATGTATTTCTTGTAATATCTTGTTCTGGCAAAGCTTTGCATTTATTTGCTAATGATGTCCTAAAAGATTCGTAAAATTCAAATTGCAAGTTTTCGATTTGTTGGCGGCTGTAATTCTTAAATAATCTCATTGGTCCGGGTTTTGGTAACAAAGTAATCAAAAACTGAAAACCGTGGTCGCCTACAATTTGTATTCCTTGGGTCCATCTTAAGTATTGTAAAGCTTTTTTATTGTATACTTCCAGTTTTAAGTGTTTTCGTAATATATTGAATACTGGCATCATACTGTTTCTTCCACGCGGTAGTATATTCAAATAAGAAAACGGAACAAGGATGTCTTTCAAAGAGGAAAAAGTTGCGACAATACCATCTAAATCATATTTTTGATTCAACCAAAGTCGTTGCGCACACGCTGTAATTTGACAATCACGTAGAGTAAGATTTGAGTCTCGTTTTAATATTTCGCTAGGGGAAAAGTTTGATCCTAAACACAGTTCATATACAGAATCGGCGTTTTCAAGTCCAGTTTGAATTAAAAGTCCATTCAAATTAGATTCCATCTTCCATTCACTAAAGAAAAGAACATGACATATAACATTATTGTTAGATGAAAGGTACACACAAAGTAGTTAGCAACAGTCAGTAACAATACTTAATGCATTTAAAGTGCCTAGTTTGGCTTTTTAATGATAACACATCGTCTAGACATACATTTGGTGTTCAACGTTTGCTTCTTTTTCTACAACTGGTACTAACTGTTAAAGACTGACATTGATTACTGCAAATGGCAAACACATATTTTCTTGTGACATTTTTATTTTAACTGATTAAAGTTTTTTGGGGGATTTTCTACATAAAAATATTAACTGACTAAAAGTTTTACAGAGCTGTTACTTATACATGTTGACGGTCAAACTATATTTGAAAACGATATGACAGGTAATTTTATAAAATTTCCAAATGTCATTAATTTGTTTTTTTGTTTTTTTTTAAAGGAAATTAAACAATTGTTAGTGTTTGAAATATAACAAATATTGTACCACAATATATCAAAGTTGAAATAATGTCAGGACTGAAAATATGTGTTCGTTATTTGTCTGAATCACATCACAATCTTAAAGGAAAATAACTGAACACATGTCACTCGTTTGTTTTATTTAATCAGGACATTAAGCGCAAAGCACTGTTTGAAAAATTTTCATCAAGCTAGTGTTCTTCTCGAATAATTTATACATTTAGTTAGCAGATGAATTTGCTCTATGCCTCCGAGGCCTATTTGTATTCTAAATTTTGAAATTTGCACCCTAATGTCAATTTTAGCTTAATTCATAATCTAAAGTAATAAGAAAGGATTAGACCATAAGCATCACATTTTATTTTAAATAATGAACAATAGGCTAAATAATGTCCTAAATGAACATTTCTTTAAGTTGTAACTTATTCAAGGGGAGTAAATTTCATATTGAAGAATGTGGTTACAATTAGTTTGGACAAATTGCTATGAGTTTCTTTGTTTTTCTGTTTGTTTGTTTGTTTGTTTTGGTTTGTTTTTTTGGTTTGACCTGTCATGTAATGTTGACATTTTAATGTTTTATTTAACATTGCCATAAAAGCGGAAAGTTCGGCTAGCCACAAAACCAGGTTCAATCCACCTTTTTTTTCTTTAAATAACCTGTACCAAGTCAGGAAAATGGTCATTGTTATATTGTGGTTCGTTTCTGTGTGTGTTACTTTTTAGTGTTGTGTTTCTGTTGTGTTGTAGTTCTCCTCTTATATTTGATGTGGGTCCCTTAGTTTTAGTTTGTAACTCGGATTTGTTTAATTTTTCGCATTCGATTTATGAATTTCGAATAGCGGTATACCTTAAACGTATTAAACATTTTTTAGAATGTTAGGTCCTCAGTGTCTTAAACTTTCTACTTTATATTTGACCTTTCAATGATGTTGATTTGAGTGTTTCTGATGAGTCTTATTACGTCAGTCGTAATATAAATCTAATCCTAGTACATGTATTGACAGTACCGAACTCCGATGCAAACTCAAAAAGAGAAAAGCTCGACTATCTCAACCAAAGGAAGCACTAATTAATAACTGTCATTAATCATGTCAACAACCATTCCCTCATCGATGATGTCTTTTGAACTTAAATAATTGTTAGCAATTTCTATAATTAAGTTGTGTCATAGATTGTTTTTCCAACTAAATTGCATTATTTCTGATTATCAATTTGATTGTAGATTAAACAACATTTAAACACAGTCACGGTGATAATTCTTTAATATTTACTCATAATATTGGAAAGGTCACCACTCTTTAACTGCACAATAACAATATTTCAAAAATGAAAATAAACTCGAAAGCAAGGCAGAACAATACAAATATAACAATTCACTTCAAGAAATAGTATGCAGTTAAAACAATATTTTAGTTATTTTTGATATAAAGTAAATGGAGAAATACATTTCGGACAATATTTTTGACATAATAAAATGTAAGATTGCTGAAGTTCAACACGATTTTCAAACAAACAATAATATGGAAAAAATTGAATCATGCACACTTTAAAATGAATAATGTTTTATTGTTATCTCCTGATCAACAGTTTTATTGTAGATTAAACAACATTAAAACACAGAAACAGTGAGAATTCCTTAATATTTAATCATAATATTTGAAAAGTCACCACTCTCTAACTGCACAATAACAATTTTTCAAAATTGACAATAAACTCGTAAGCAAGGCAGAACAATACAAATATTACAATTCAAATAGAACGTTATTGTTATCAACCAAATAATAAAAGAAAGGAATTTATAAGTAGACGATCTGTAATTCACTTTAGGGTTTGCTTGTGAAGATTGTCTATTTTAGTGCAAACTCTCACAAAGGTATGGGTTGCCTCAATCCATAGACCTCTCTGAATCCCTTCCTTATAAACCTTAAGTTTAAAATCTTGGGCCCTTGAAAAGTCAGGTAGATCGATTCTACTTTCTAGAAACTCTAGGCCCGCTGGATTGCTCTTTTTCCAGGACCATCTTAACAATAACTTTTTTTTTGTTTTTTTCACTCCCTCATCAACTGCTCTCTTTTGTGATGTATCTTCAGCATGTTCAGTGATCAGGTTTGTTGACATCGAAACAGGGGTGGACATGATAGTCATCGGTTCGTCCACTGACTCATCAATATCGAATGAGTTGGTTGGCATGAAAGCTAATGTACCGCTGGTGATAATGTCTTCAATTATTTTTGGTATCCCAGCAGTAATATCGTTAAATTTACGATCTATATCTGTCACTTTTTTTTCCAATTCCTGTATCTTTCTTTTGCTGCCCTTGCTTTCTGTTTCGATTTGTGAAATGGTTGTTTCCATCGAGTTGACAGTTGCTGTTAAATCATTAAATCCAGTATCACAACCCTGTGCATTCCTGTTAACCTCCTTCTTTACTTCATCGAGGTGGGCTCTTAGTTCCCCAATTGCATTATTACTATACTGTTTTCTGAATTCTGTTAACTCCTTGTGTATGTTGTTTTCTGATTTTTGTATCTCATACTTAACTAGGCAATCAATAGCCTCAAGGGTTACACCTAGAAATAAATAGACGCAAAGTGTGTTACAATAGGCCAGAAGAGCTTCCTTGATCTTATATGATAACTAGAACTGTAAGCAAAAATTACTAGATATAACCCCGCTGTTCTTACAAGTACCTACTTAACAAGTAGTTGTTCTCAATGGACGATGACATTATATTATGCTAAATGGCCAAATTTCAACGGCCTGGAGTAACATTGTTCATGAACATCTATATCTGATGATATAATATTATATATCAACTTCCACATGTATATAACAAACAAAGACTAAGGAGTTACAATGATGAAGTACATACTCGATAGAGTAAAACAATTTAAGGACAGAGGTCCATACCCCATGGAAAACTCAATTGACAAGAACGTCCTACATTCATGCACACCTGAATATGTGAATCTAGCAATATACATACTTACATGTATATTTAACAAACCATGTCAGATACGTTGCTATGACAAGCATAGGGTCAACATTTCGATATCCAAAGGGCTATAACTCATGTAATAATATACCAGATCATCCTAAATATAGCGATTTTAACACATAACGGTTAGTGGGACAAGGGACAGACAGACGGACATACAATGTAAAACGTATAGAACTACATGTACATTAGAACGTGCGAATATAACAATGTACAAACTTTTATGTGTATCCAATAAGACTAGTCAGAGGAGTAGCGATGGCATATTTCATCATGGATAGTGTCAAAATTGCAATGTTTAAAAAGGCCATTACTCATGGAAACTCAATGAACCGGAACATTCCATCAACATGTACATATGAATATATGTATCTAACAATATACCCACATGCATGTGTATCCAACAAACCGTGTCAGATGAGTTGCGATGACAAGCTGTCTACTTCAAAAGGGTCCACATTTCTTAGTCCGAAGGGCCATAACTGAAGAAGAACTCAATATACCGGAACATCCTACCTATAGTGATTTCAACACATCATGGTCAGTTATAAATATTTTCGAAGTCTGGACATAAGACATTGGAATTGGTCCGGATAATGTGACAGACAGGCGGACAGACAATGTAAAACCTATACAACCCTGTAACCTTGTTTGAGTGTGGGAATAACTAAGATCATGTGAGTCTGTATGACTTACCTGAAATAATCTATTCTTTTGGAGATTGTGATGATGCTCAATATTTTTTTTATGCGTGGACGGGTCGGAACCATTTTGATTTAAAATAAGTGGTTCTGCTAGCTTTTGGGTGTTTTTTTTTAAAGTAACAGCACCCACCATCGATCAAGGAGGATTTTGCAAGACATCTTTTTGAAAGGGAACATATGTAGACCATTCACTCAAAGTTTAGATTGAACCGGGTGATACCAAGTTGCTCAAGACAAACATATCTTCAAATATAGTGATTTACTATATGCTAATATTTGAATGGTTCTACACTAGTCATCTTTTTGGTGGGGTCAGGAGGGGATTTCTATATGCTAATGTTTGAATGGTTTTTCACTAGTCATCTTTTTTGGTGGGATCAGGAGGGGATTTCTATATGCTAATGTTTGAATGGTTTTACACTAGTCATCTTTTTGGTGGGGTCAGGAGGGGATTTCTATATGCTAAGGTTTGAATAGTTTTACACTAGTCATCTTTTTTGGTGGAGTCAGGAGGGAGATTTCTATATGCTAATGTTTGAATGGTTTTACACTAGTCATCTTTTTTGGTAGAGTCAGCTTGCTCTACGGTGTGAGTCAAGGCTCCGTGTTGAAGACCGTGAGTTAAACTGTAATGGTTTACTTTTACAAATTGTGACTTGGATGGAGATTTGTCTCATTGGCACTCATACGATATCTGCTTATATCTATGATATTCTAGTTTTTGCCCCGCTCGTGTAAATGCACTCGACTCCTATCTTAAATAACAAGGATTGCTAGTTTACCTAACAAAGTTAGATGGTTTTTCCCCGAGCACTCCGGCTTTCTCCGCTAATAAAAACTGGCAGCCAGGAAACAGCCAAAATGCGATGCTTAAAAGTGGCGTTAAAACACCACAAATCAAATCAAAACATTATGATCAGCTGTAATGCACCTAGTAACAAACGTTAATGTGTACTAATTACTTCCGTTAATTGAAACAATTTCGAGATTGCAAGTGTTCTTTTTTTCTGTAGGACATACACTGTATTAGAAAAAAATCCACTTCTTCTTTTTAAGACAACTGCACACGATAAAATAATTTCAAAGGTCAAGGCAAAGAACATAATTTGATGACCAAGGTCAAGGTAATAAAGTTGTAATAAGAGAAAGAGATAAAAATGGTTTGAGGCTTACCTTCCTCTAGATCTTCAGGGTCACTCTCTGCTACGTGCTAAAATAAAAATTTAAACTGTATAGTTTGAAAATAAAATCATTCTAACTAATTCAATTTCAATAAAACTGAATAATATACACATAGTAGACATGTGAAGACATGATTCACACTAATAAGTGGTTTCATCTTTGAATGGCAATTGTAAAATATACAGATACAACAAGTGACGATATTTGACAATTTTAAACATCAAAAACATGACCAAACACAAACAAGTTGGAGCAAACACAAACACGAATATGGGCATAACAACAACACCTTAACTAATCTCTGTAAAGCACAAACTCATCAATCGCATTGTAATATATATATATACAAGTCTAAATTAAAAACTACGTTCAAACCTATGAAAAACCGCCGATTTTATACGTGAGCATATAAAACAAATTTCGTTGTAGGAGGGTCTAAATACAGCACAAACTACCTAAAATTTACATTAATGAAACTTTCGGTGGCCGGGTGTTACCTTTCCTCGTAATTTTTTATCTAGCTTCGTAACACAGTACACGATATATAAGGCATAAGGATGTAATTTTTACAGATCAGCTTAATCATCTGTCTTACAGGAATTTACTAACTAATGTTTGATGCAGTCATAAAAATAGTTCTATTATAAGAACGTTTGAACCAGAAACAACTTGTGCAAACATATTATATATATACAGTTGAGTTCTAGCCAAACTCTCACGGTTCTATCTGGTTACTTTTAGTGTGTTTGAAGAAGTGGTACCATTAATGCATTCTGTATTTGTTATATTTCTTATCAGTTTTGTAAAACTAAAAAGGCAGTATAGTATTACTGACATACCTCAGTTTCTCTGCTTCTGTCATTTGTGATATCCATATTCTGGAAAAAAAATGATAGAATTCATATCATCGACGAAAAGCTACTGTTCTTTTCAATGTAGATATCAAATTAGATTGTTTGCGGTATAAAGCAAAAATTTAGAATAAATAAAGTAAGGAACAAAAGTTGCATATTTTTTTCAACATTTAATTCCAAATTATCTTACTTATCACTCCCCCCCTCTCCAGTTTTAGTTGGTTACGTGTTTCTTAGTTTTTAATTATTCATGCTGTGTCGTGTGTATTATTATTATTATTTGTCTGTTTGTTGTTGTTTTTTTTTTTTTCGTTTTTTGCCATGGTGTTGCCAGTTTATTTTCGGTCTTTGAGTTTGAATTTCTCTTTGGCATAGTTCGGCCCTCTTCAATTGGTCTGTCGATACAGAGCACAAACAGAAAAATTCCCCTTCTGTTTAATTATAGATATGAATTGTATCAAGTAGCTTAATTTCTTTTTTTATTCTAAGACAATTCATAGGGTTCAGCCTATTGAAAGCATAAAACATACAATATAAAAAAGTAGATGTGGTATTAATACCAATGAAACAACTCTCCACAAGAGACCAAAATAACACCGAAATTAACAGTTATAGGTAACTGCAGGGCCTTCAACAATGAGTAAAGCCCATACCGCATAGTCAGCTATAAAAGGCCCCGTAATGACAATGTAAAACAATTCAATCGAGAAAACTAACGGCTTAATTTATATAAAAAAAATGAACGAAAAACAAATATGTAACACATAAACGACAACCACTGAATTACAGGCTCCTGACTTAGGACAGGCACATACATACAAGTTTGTTTTCGCAGTGAAAAGAAAGATAGACAAAGGCAGACCAATAATCAACTAGTATCATCTGTTTGATATTTTTTTTTATTTTAGACTTACCACTGGTCTCTCTTCTTCTATATTTCCTTCCTATATAAACCAAAGAGAACGAGTAAATCAAAAGACGAATGAAAATTGTCACTTAATGTCACAAGTAATTATTTAGTTAATGATGTAATAAAGATCATCAATAAACAGACCTATTTCCAACTAGTATCATCAGTTTGATACCTTTTAATTTCAGACTCTAAGTTTACATGTGCATGCCATATTAGGCTAAATGTTACTATGCTATCGTAATCAACGTTACTTAGCCGCGTAGACAAAGGCATCTATCAAATAGTTCCGATCTACGACGCTTTAAAGGTTTTTGATTTGTTAATGTATCCATATAGAATAAAACATCAGGTCTCCATGCTGTCGTTGACACTTGAATCGAAGTGTGGTTACACCGTGAGGTTGCCACATGAACCAAGGCAGACCGACGACCAAACAGTCCCCGTCTGCGACCCGAAATTTGATGCTACATGATATTCTGTTTTCTTTTTATATTCTTATAATAATAAGAATCTGTTTTCTATGTAGTAGTTGATATATTAATAAAGTGATATGGGGTAAAAACCAAAGAGACAACCACAAACTCCTCGTGAAAATACTTGAATGGTGAGCACCAACACAGAAACTGGAGATATAGGCTAAATGATTGCTCGTCAAATAGGTCTTTTTATTTTTTTACTTTACAATTGTTTTTGCACGAAAACGTCACAAAAAAAACCCTGTCTTACATCTTTCAATAAAGTTATGGAAATGAAAATGAATTGTTCTAATTAACCATTGTACTCAAATAGCACAAACGTTACTTACCACTAAATTTGGAAAATACGTCTTAACCCTCTAAATTCTAAAACCGGAATGAAATGTATATTATTCAGCATATGGGAAATGCTACTCTTTTATTGTCGTTGATATGATTTTTTTGCAATTTTTTTTGATAGTTTGACTATTGTCTTTTCAGAAGTATTTAACTTTTTCTTTGCAATTTAGCAACAACACAAACACTGGAAAAATAAAAGTTAAATTATCGTCTTTAAAATTTGGTAATTTTATTCTTCACTTTTAACAATCATTTTTGCAATAAACGTAGATATATACATGCTTTACAATTTTGTTAGTAAATTTACTCAAATGAGAATGAACAAATCTTGTTTAACTGTTGTATAAAGTTTTTTACATATTTTTTACTAATAATTAAATGTGACTTACCACTGGACTCTCTTCTTCTGTGTTTCCCTCCTGTAAAAATCCAAGTGAGACGAATAAAGGTAATTTTTTAGTCAATGTTGTAATAAAGATCACCAATACCTTTCGAAAAAGAAGTAAACAGAAAATACGATCAAATACTTTGAATGTCTACACTGGAATGACAATTTAAGCATTGAGCCTATGGGAGGTACTTCTATATTATCGTCGTTGATATGATTTTTTGCATTTTTCTATCGGCTGACCCTTTATCTTTTGAGAAGTATATAACTTTTTTTCTTTGCAAATAAGCAACGACACAGATACTGGGGAAATATAAGTTCAATGGTTGCTCTTCATAATTGGTTAAATTTATTCTTCACTTTTAACAATCATGTTTTGCAAAAAACGTAAATAAAAATATGCTTTATACTTTTTTAGTAAATTTGCTGAAATGAGAATGACATTGTTTTTTAACTGACGTATAATGTTATTAACACATTTGTTTCCAATAATTAAATGTGACTTACCACTGGTCTCTCTTCTTCTATGTTTCCTTCCTGTATAAATCCAAGAGAACGATTTAATCAAAAGACGAATAAAAATTGTCACTAATTGTCACAAGTAATTATTTTGTCGATGATGTAATAAAGATCATCAATTACTTTTGAAAAAGAAGTAAACAGACCTATTACCAACTAGTATCATCAGTTTGATACCTTTTAATTTCAGACTCTAAGTTTACATGTGCATACAATATTAGGCTTAATGTTACTATGCTATCGTAAACAACGTTACTTAGCCTCGTGGACAAAGGCATCTATCAAATTGTTCCGATCTACGACGCTTTAAAGGTTTTTGATTTGTTTATGTATTCATATAGAATAAAACATCAGGTCTCCATGCTGTCGTTGACACTTGAATCGAAGTGTGGTTACACCGTGAGGTTGCCACATGAACCAAGGCAGACCGACGACCAAACAGTCCCCGTCTGCGACCCGAAATTTGATGCTACATGATATTCTGTTTTCTTTTTATATTCTTATAATAATAAGAATCTGTTTTCTATGTAGTAGTTGATATATTAATAAAGTGATATGGGGTAAAAACCAAAGAGACAACCACAAACTCCTCGTGAAAATACTTGAATGGTGAGCACCAACACAGAAACTGGAGATATAGGCTAAATGATTGCTCGTCAAATAGGTCTTTTTATTTTTTTACTTTACAATTGTTTTTGCACGAAAACGTCACAAAAAAAACCCTGTCTTACATCTTTCAATAAAGTTATGGAAATGAAAATGAATTGTTCTTATTAACCATTGTACTCAAATAGCAAAAACGTTACTTACCACTAAATTTGGAAAATACGTCTTAACCCTCTAAATTCTAAAACCGGAATGAAATGTATATTATTCAGCATATGGGAAATGCTACTCTTTTATTGTCGTTGATATGATTTTTTTGCAATTTTTTTTGATAGTTTGACTATTGTCTTTTCAGAAGTATATAACTTTTTCTTCGCAATTTAGCAACAACACAAACACTGGGAAATAAAAGTTAAATTATCGTCTTTAAAATTTGTTAACTTTATTCTTCACTTTTAACAATCATTTTTGCAATAAACGTAGATATATACATGCTTTACAATTTTGTTAGTAAATTTACTCAAATGAGAATGAACAAATCTTGTTTAACTGTTGTATAAAGTTTTTTACATATTTTTTACTAATAATTAAATGTGACTTACCACTGGACTCTCTTCTTCTGTGTTTCTTTCCTGTAAAAATCCAAGTGAGACGAATAACGGTAATTTTTTAGTCAATGTTGTAATAAAGATCACCAATACCTTTCGAAAAAAAAGTAAACAGAAAATACGTCCAAATACTTTGAATGTCTACACTGGAATTACAATTTAAGCATTGAGCCTATGGGAGGTACTACTATATTATCGTCGTTGATATGATTTATTGCATTTTTCTATCGGCTGACCCTTTATCTTTTGAGAAGTATATAACTTTTTTTCTTTGCAAATAAGCAACAACACAGATACTGGGGAAATATAAGTTCAATGGTTGCTCTTCATAATTGGTTAAATTTATTCTTTACTAATATGCTTTACAATTGTTTAGTAAATTTACTGAAATGAGAATGACATTGTTTTTTAACTGACGTATAATGTTGTTAACACATTTGTTTCCAATAATTAAATGTGACTTACCACTGGTCTCTCTTCTTCTATTTTTCCTTCCTGTATAAATCCAAGAGAACGATTTAATCAAAAGACGAATACAAATTGTCACTAAATGTCACAAGTAATTATTTTTTCAATGTTTTCATGAATACCTTTTGAAAAAGAAGCAAACCGAAAATTCGTCCAAACACTTGTAATTCCTACAATGGAATGAACATTTCAACATTGAGCCTATGGGAGGTACTACTATATTATCGTTGTTGATATGATTTTTCGCAATTTTAAAAAGGCAAATCTTTTTAGAAGTTTATACCTTTCTTTGTCTTTGCAATTTATCAACAACACAGAAATTATGGATAATAGTAAAATGATTGCTTTTCAAAATTCAATCATGTTTGCACAAAAATCCTTTCTAATTCGTAGGTAAAGGACAAGGTCAATACAGACGAACTTGTTTGGCCCCAAAATACAGCAGTTTTACAAAATACATTTAGCTATGTATTGGAAAGTAGAATACCTTTGTTTTATAAGTGTTGTCTGTTTTGGACAAAGCAAACACACATGTATCGGGTACAAGCATGATAGAGTCCTATATAAAGTCATATATACTGCATCTGTGCTAATTGCATTGACCGTATATTCAAATGTGCCTCGCTCTCTACCTGTTTCTAAACTTGCACAAATAACATTGATATTTTGAGACAATGCATGGTTATTCTATATATACAATTACTGAAATCTTCAAAATTTTAGCATCGTTGTTAATTTCTTAACGGTTTCAGTCTAAAAGATGAGTTGTCGCATTAGTGCTCATTCTTAATAATTTAATGTAATTTGTATTTTATGATGATATATAACATATATATATAGGTGAAGAAGGAAAACGGATGCGGCTACTGTCATTTTTGACAAAACACATCTGAAAAGTGACATATTATGGCATATTTGATACTTTTTCTTTATTTTATCTTATTTGAGCGTCTTGAATGACAAAATCAGTTCTAATCTTCCACAAAAACTAATATAATCGACTAACGTAGGTACTTAAGTGTTTTAAATGTGTCCAACCTCTTTCATCCGATGTAGCTGAACTTTTTGGCCAAAATCGTACCTTACCGGATATACTCCTTTAATGAAATGAAAAAAAGTTTGAAATGTTCGTATTTTGTCTTATAGTTAAATGTTACTAACCACTTGTCTTCCTTCTTTTTTATTTCCTTCCTGTATATATCAAACAGAAAAACTAAATCAAAAGACGAATACAAAATTGTCACTTAAGGCTGTATTGGAGTCTAAAGCAAGAACGATAGAATTTGTTCATACTTTGCCTGGCGTAGTATATATTGATATATTTTCAAAAATATAATAAAAAAGATGGGTCACCGTGTATTCTCTCAATCTACAGGAAGTGACAAAATGACACATTTTGTACGGATTATACAGGAAAAAAACATCATTATGTGATTAGAAGTTAAACTAAATAATAGAATTGTAAAAAAAATACGAAAAGATGGAATTGCGTTTAGAATATCAAAAGAAAAAGATAGGACCACCGTGCGTTTTTTCCAGCTAAAATGCAAAATAGCAAAATTAAGTGTAGATTCCTTCACAAAATGCACTATTTCAGAGTTTATACATCCCCTTAACATGCCAAAATAAAAACATTAGAAATGAAGCAAAAAATATTAAAATTTATAAGTTATAATCTTATTAATTTGTTCTTTTAGGTGCAAATCAATATTAGTTCCATCATCAAATTTTGCTAACTTGATTCAAATCTGGACCTTAGATTCTCTGTTGTTTACAATCCGAAATGGCAAAGACACCCCCAAACCATTTCAATGTCACAGATAATTATTTAATCAATGTATTACACAAATCACTTATACCTTATGAAAAAGAAAAGAAAAAAAAAGTCAGCATAAACTATTAAAAATTCGAATAGACGTAACATTTGAATTAAATTATCAATAAAGGTATACTACCACGCGCAAGGCCTTCATTCACTATCGACTGCATGTAGACAAAAGACGAAAATAAAAGCCAAACATATTCTTGAATATAACTTAAGGTTAAACGAAAAATTGACGTTAACCTTAACCTTAACCGTAATTTTAACTCTTATATAAACCGTAACTTTAAATAATAGCCAACATATCCTTCAATGAAAATTAAGGTTAAACAAAACATTTGATTCAAAATTGACCTTTACTTTAAACCTAACATCTACCTCCAATATGTACCTATCTCGATAACGGTCAGTCATAACTTCATCTTAGACAACCTTGAGTATTCCCCACGGCTACCACTTTTATGATATAGCCAACGTATTTTTGAACGTAAAATTAACCATAACCTTAACCTTGACCTTAACCTTAACCGTTACCTAAAAAAATAGCCAACATATGCTTGAATAAAGCTTAAGGTTACACGAAGAAATAACATTACCCTTAAACTTGTCCTTAACCTTAACCCTTACCATAACCTTTACCTTAAATAATAGCCAACATATGTTTAAATACACATTAAAGTGACACGAAAAAATAACCTTAACCTTCAGTAATAGCCAACATACGCTGCAATAAAGCTTAAGGTTAAACGAAAAATAAACCTTAACCTTAAACTTAACCCTAAAATTGACCGTTACATAAAATAATAGCCAATATATCCATCAATAGAATATAAGGTTAAACTAAAAATTAGACTTAACCTTAACCTCAACTATAAACCTAATATTTAACTCCTACATGTACCTATCTCGATAACGATCAGTCATACCTTCATCTTAGACAACCTTGATTATTCCCCACGGCTACCACTGTTATGATATAGCTAACGTATTTTTGACTGAAAAATTAACCATAACCTTAACCTTGACCTTTACCTTAACCGTTACCTAAAGAAATAGCCAGCATTTGCTTGAATAAAGCTTCAGGTTACACGAAGAAATAATCTTAACCTTAAATTTGTCCTTAACCTTTACCCTAACATTAACCCTAACCTTAAATAATAGCCAACATATGCTTAAATACACATTGAAGTGACACGAAAAAATAACCTTAACCTTAACCTTATCCTTCAATAATAGCCAACATACGCTGAAATAAAGCTTAAGGTTAAACGAAAAATAAAACTTAGTCTTAACCTTAACCCGTAAATTGACCGTTACTTAAAATAATAGCCAATATATCCTTCAATGGAATATAAAGTTAAACTAAAAATTAGACTTAACCTTAACATCAACTATAAACCTAATATTTAACTCCTACATGTACATATCTCGATAACGATCAGTCATACCTTCATCTTAGACAACCTTGAGTATTCCCCACTGTTATGATATAGTCAACGTATCTTTAAATTATGCTTAAGGATAAACGAAAAATTAACTTTAACCTTAATCTTTACCTTAACCTTAACCTTAAGATCAACCTTAACTTTAACCTTAACCTAACAAAATAGCCAACATATGCTTGAATAAAGCTTAAGGTTACCAGAAAAAATAACCTTAACCTTAACCTCAACTTTAAATGATAGCCATCATATGCTTGAATAAAACTTAAGGTTAAACGAAAAATAAACCTTAACCTTAACCTTAACTCAACTTTAACAGTACCCTTAACCCAAACATTAACCGTAATTTATCCTACAATACAAAATATGGTTAAACTTTAGACTTAAAATTGACCTCAACTGTAAACCTAACATCTAACTTCTACATGTACCTATCTCAATAACGATCAGTCATACCGTCACTTTAGACAACCTTGAGCATTCCCCACGGTTACCACTATTATGATAGAGTCAACGTATCTTAAAATAATGCTTAAGGTGAAACGAAAAATTAACATTAACCTAAACCCTAACCGTAACTTAAAATAATAGCCAACATATGCCTAAATAAATCTTAAGGTTACACTAAAAAAATAATCTCAACCTTAACCTTAACCCTAACCTTAAATAATAGCCAGCATATGCTTGAATAAAGCTTCAGGTTAAACGCGAATTTAACCTTAACCTTAACCATAACACTAACCTTAACCGTCACTTTAACTTTAAATAAAAGCCAACACATCCTTTAATAAACCTTTAGTTCAACTAAAAATTTGAATGAAAATTGACGTTAACTATCAACTCCTCAATGTACCTATCTAGATAATGATCAGACATACCGTCACCTTGGACAACCTTGAGTATTCCCTCACGGCTAGAACTGTTATGATATAGCCAACGTATATTTAAATAATGCTTATGGTTAAACAAAAAATGAACCTAAACCTTAACCTTAACCTTAACCTTAACCTTAAGAAAAAGAAAACATATGCTTAAATAAACATTGAGGTTACACTAAAAATAATCTTAACCTTAACCTTGACCTTAAATAATAGCAAACATATGCTTCAATAAAGCTTCAGGTTAAACGTAAAATTAATCTTAACTTTAACCTTAACCTTCACTTTAACCTTAAACCAAACCTTAACCCTAACCTTACATGATAGCCGACATATCCCTCAATAGAACACAAGGTTAAACTAAAATTTAGAGTTAAAATTGACCTCAACTATTAACCTAACATCTAACTCCTA